GTTTTTTATTTCTACATAAAGCCTGACGATGAGAAAATGAAGTTTTCGAAAGTACTTGCTACTCTAAAAATAAACCAGATCCATCTGACGACAATTTTGTACATAAAGGATCGCGTCATTCAGTTGATTATTAGTAAGTTAATGCTTATATTAGGTCTGTTAGCGAAGAGAATTCGCCATTAATTACATTAATATTACTAATTGATTCATTGTATGATTACCTCTTTATAACATGTACATATACATATATATATATATATATGCCCATATATACATATATTTGCATGAATATATATATATATATATATATATATATATATATATATATATATATATATGTATGTATGTATGTATCTATGTATGTATGTATGTATGTATGTATGTATAGATATGTTTGTGTCAGAAATCTGAAGAGGAGGATAACTATATGAGCACTAGACTTTTTAATCAATGCATTGATTTTTCATTTAGCCTTTTGATCAATTGATTTTTCAACATTAACATCGTCGCTACAAAATGATCAAGGTGCTTTAGAACCACCACCGAGTAATGGTTTGAATCGCACGGTTTGTTTGTAAAAAGGATTTACTAGTCTTTAGGGAGCTCAAATGAAGCCAGGTCACTCACACTCTCGAGCCGAATGTATCCGAGATCTATAACCATAGAGATCGCGAAGTCGATATTTCGAGCAAATCGATAGCGAGTCTCTGACAAAAGGATTTATCGTTGTCATTTGTTCTACAGCTCAATTCAGAACGTCAGTATTTGCGCTTATTTCGAACAAAGTTGTCTGCAGTTATCAAATGTCCACACCCTTCATATTTTTATCATGCTGTAATGGCAGACTTGTTTATTCTTCAAATGACAGGTTGTCCGATGTAACTTTTCGAAGATATGGTTAATCTTTTAACGCTTTTCTTCATCAGCCTCTTACAATTACAAACTGATATAACTTTCTAAAAGAAATAGCATTACCTTCATTTTCACTCTTCACTTCCACTGCTTCCCCCCTCAGATTATAATAGTCGACACAAGGAATTCGGAGATAAAAAAAAAAGTTAGCGATTATTTTTAGCATTTAAGAAAGTACGATTATGTTTTATAATCATTTTCATTGTAGCTTTCAATTTCTCACAGGGGAACAGATTTTTTAATCATTTTACCCAAGCAACGTAATAAAAGCCACTAAGGTCAAATGTGTTAGTGAGAGTGAAAGAAACAGAGATGAAAATAAATGAACAGGATTCAAAGAGAGAGAAGATGACTATTTACAATGCATTTCATTTTTAAGACCGTAGTTGACATGGAAGCATGAAGTCAGAATAATCCAATTGGATAATATAATCAAAAGATTTCTCATTGGGTTTGTGTGATGCGAAGATGACCTCAAATTTACTGTACGTTTTTTTTCCACCTTGCTTTGAGTTTGGCTTCTGTTTCTGGGTCACGCGCAAAATATTCGCTATAAAAAATGTTTAAGTCGTACCAAATTAGAAGATATCTTTCCACATTCAACACAATATTCATCCAATCAACAGAGACCCGACATCTTTTTTTTTAGAATCCCATCCACGTCGCCAATATGTCACTTTTATGCTGATTTTCATCTACAGAAACCAACCGACACAGACAAATTCAAAATGGCCGCCGAGGTTAATTCCGCTTCCTCTTTAATACCCAAAATGCATCACCAAAAATATTATCGGAATAGATTATGGCCGACAATCAATCAAATCACAAGGCGCGCGTATGCGTGATCGCGCTCTCCCTCTCTCTCTCTCTCTCTCACACACACACACTTTCTCTCTCGCACTCTCTTGCACACTCTTTCTGTCTCTCTATCTCTCTCTCAGAAGATCGCTTGAGGCACGAAACTGATAGTAACTATGCATTGTTGATATCTATATCCACACATAATATATATATGTGTGTATGTGTATGTGTGTGTTAAATATATATTTTAAGATATGACGTAACTATGGGTAAAAGTGATCAATATCAGAAAGTGACCGTGTGTAAATATAAGAGTTGACACTGGGGTCAACACCGAGTGGCGCAGTCTTCAGACATGAAGATAGTGTTCAAGTATGAAACATACTCTCATCAGTCGGTGTTGACTTTAGACTCTAAACATATGTAAAGTACCAGGTTTAGAACTGGCGCGAGCTAGCTGCCCTTGATGAGGGTGAAAGGAGTCTCTCTGAGCTTTGGTTAGCCATCCTTTTAGCGTTGGTTTCAAAATAATAAAGACTTCAGATGGGAAGAAAAAATCACGACAGCTTAAACTGGTCATTATATTGCATGTGTCTGCCGAGAGGCGTGTAATGGCTGATAGTGACTGTGATCCGAAGAGGTTAAACTCCGCGATATTAACGCATATCGTTCGAAATTTCAGTGGCATGTCTTTTGCACCGTTACTTTTTTATCGACAGATCCAAAAAGATTAGATGGTCCGACACAAGCCTTCACCACTTGAAACAAATCATTGTGTTGGTTTTCTGACAACTATATCGAATTAGTTCCACACATATCCGGCTACTGCGAAAAACTCTACGAAACAACATCAACTTCATCTTGGCACTTGGAATGTACGAACTCTCCAAGACAACAACTCAGCACCAGAAAGAAAAACAGCTCTAGTCACATTGGAGCTAAAAAAATACAATATTGATAAAGCTGCACTGTGAAGTAACCATCAGTCGATTACATGAAACGGGAAAGCAAAATAAGACATCTAACAGTGTTCCTGCTGCACTTGGATACAATACATTCTCCTGTACTGTTTGTGGTTTTTTGTTCAATTCTCGAGAATTAAAGTAAACGAAAGAAAGAAAGAAAGAAAGAAAGACGTAAGATGGGAAAAATGTGAAGAAAGAAATAAATACGTGAAATGGGATAAATGTGGAGAAAGAAAGAAAGAAAGAAAGAAAGAAAGAAAGAAAGAAAGAAAGAAAGACGTGAGATGGAATAAATGGAGAGATAGACGGATGAGGAAACGAAAAAAGAAAAAGATGTTCGATGGCGATAACAAATGGGTGGGGAGAGAGAGGGAGAGGGAGAAGAATTCATTTGTAAAATGGCTAAAAGAAGTGTTAAGAAACAGAAAAGATTAGAGAAAAATTAGACAAAGAAAAGAACCGAGAAATAATTTAAGAGAAAGACGTCGCAAATTTCGACTGTCCACCTACGACTCAGTAGTTGTGCGCCTGGCATTAACGGTACGAATTAGGTCGCTGTTCATCAGTCGTCTCTGATTAGCGTTCGCGCCACGACTGGTCACGTGCCTTTATCTCTGACATCCAATTGAGTGCAAACGCATTCGCCATATTGGTACAACAAATCAGTCCGGAGAATTAAAACAAATCACTTCCCACCTTGCACGTCCTCCACAACTAACTAAACTGGAATGTGGATTAGACAATGAAAATGGGTGCGATACAGGGGAATGGGTGAATCGTTTCTTTTCCCGGACCAATCCTGTAGAAAAGGAACTTAGAAGAACTGGGTGACAGTGAGACTACTTCTTTTATGTGCCGTGTCCCTTTAGAACGTATGCGATCATGGCCCTCCACATCTTCCTCGTTCTTGTAGGTCTTAATAAGTTTTGTCTTTTTCGTTATTTCTACCAAACCCAGTTCTTCCATCCATTTGCTCAAGCTCATCAAATACGTTACGCGTTCCTTTCACCAGTCCTTCAAATCCCTCTATCCGCCTTGTGAGTATCAGATTTTCCAAGCCCTTCTTTCTCATTACGTACCCTAGAAATGTCAACAGCCGCTTCCTAGAGTTAAGTATAAGTTTCCTTTTTGCTTCTATTTTCTCCAGAAATTCGTTGTTGCTCACATATTTGACCCATGGTATCCTCACCATCTTTCTGTAGAACCACATTTCTGTTGCTTCAAGTTTCTTCTTCATCCGTAAAGAGATTGTCCAGCATTCGCTGTCATACAGGAGGACAGATATCACTTGACAGTTCAGTACACTTTTCTTTATTTCTAACAAAAGAAAACAAAATAACAATGAAAACACAGTAATCTTGTAAACTAAATCCAAATGTCGGTACGATTTTTTATTTCCTCCAGTTTTCTTTTATTTGGTACAGCACGCTTATTAGTTTCAAAATAATTTTCTCTGTGGCACGGTAATTTTGTTCCACGTTTATTAAAATATATAAAATGTCCGGTGGAACGTTTATTTGACTCGGCATGCTTATTTTATAAGTTGACTAGCAGCATGGCGCGGCGTTGCCCGTGCTTGATTCAAAAATCGTACGACTAAAACAGCAATCGCTATCACTTGACTTAAAATATTTTTGCCCTTCCTTGCCTTTAAAGGAGTGCCCTTTGCCGTGCTGATGTTGCTACACGCCTTACTTCTTGCCTAACTCACACTGCGAATTTTTTCTAAGCTCTATACTAAACATTAAATCTGTTACGAAAAAAGAACTAAACAAAATGAACACAAAAAAAGCACTCGTAACTGGAAAACCGAACGAAAAAAAGAATGTTAACAACAAATACTTTTCACATCCAACCCAGTTCTGCGGAATCAGAATCAACGTTGAGTTTAAGCAAGCAAATGAGCCAAATGGAGTAAAGTGAGATGCAGATTTAAAATTTTCCCACTTGTGACGAATGCAGCTATCGATTTTTTTGCATGCTAGTATGCTAGTTAACATTCGTGACAGTCAGCTGTTGGCTCTCACGCTGGCCAATAGAATCTTCCTGCCTATTCGTGGCAGCCAGCTATAGGCTCTCACTCTGGCCAGTAGAAAATGGCCGCAAACTACATGAAAAGTGCCGTAGAAGCATGAAAGAATCGATTATTTCAACTATCGATATGAATTGGGAAATGCAAAGTCGGTCTTGGCCTTTCCGCTAACTTGGAGCATGTGCATGTAAATTTTGGTGCAAATCCGTCGAAAATTGCGGCCGTGAATTCGTTACACACACACACACACACACACACACACACACACACACACACACACACATCCTGCCTTTTATAGATAGAGATAAATTTCTACCGACATGCCTATTTCAGACGTTACTTGTACAGGGTGAGGCAGAGAAAACAGACATATTTCTGAGTAATAGACATTTCATTAACGCCCGTTCTCTCTTCTTCCTCTTGTATTTAAAAAAGACCCGTGAAGATTTCATCGTTTTCCTATTTGAATTTTCTGATGAATCTTAATTCTTCAGTTTATCTCTCTGAGATGAGTTATGGTAACATTATTTACATTGTTCGGACTGTTGTCCTCATCTTTAAGGGTTCAGTTCGAAATTCCAGTCACTTGAAGAAGACCTGGGCGTACAACAGCCGACACAACGTGAATATAGCAATAAAGATGAGGACAACAGTTTGAACAATGTAAATAATCATCATTCTTCAGTTAATGATTGAATATCATTATTACTAGTTCTATGAAAATAAAATATCGGTAGAAATTTCCGTATCACATCGTTAAATATTTGAGCTTAACAACTTTAACAATATATTACTATAACAATCATAAATATGAATGCTGTTTGTTATTTTAAGAAGTGGGTACAAATGAAAAATTTTGAAACTGCTAACTTTTTTCATTTCAACACCTTCCTTTCTTTCTTTATTTCTTTCATTTTCTCAGTGAAACCAAGTAGTGTCTCCTTTAGTGCGCGATCAAGACGGAATAGTCCATTACTTATGAGATATTGGCAGATATTAAATACTTTTAATTTCTCTTATTTCATTCTTACTTTCTCTCTAGCCAAATCCCCATCTTGCGATCATTTTTCTAAAATCAAACTGTAGTATCAGTTCTTATCAGCTGAATCTGATTCTCTCTTTACACTGCTATCTTCCTTTCTTTCTTTCATTTTCTCAGTGAAACCAAGTAATGTCTTTTCCCGTCTTTCCACGCGATCAAAACGCGAAATAGTCCATTACTTATGGGGCACTGACAGGAAGTAACGGTCGTGCTAACGAAAAGGTTGGACAAACACAGTTATAATAAGATGGTAGTAGGCACTGGAGGGAAGTAGTAATTCTTTCTCATGATGAACCCCAAACTTGTCTTTGTCTTTTTGCCAAAGGATGGGGAAGTTGGCAGCTTGTCGAGACCTGAACTGGGGTGAGATTAGGTGAATGTGAGAGGATGCGATAGGAAAGTGTTCATGTATGTACATGCGCACGACTTGGCGTTGATATTTGTTAATATATAAGCATGAACCAAAGAGACATTCGAGTGTTTGATCTAGAAGGTGAAGTCAATATGGCCGTAAGATAACACTGAGCAATCAGTTAAATTTCGATCAGATATATTCATGTGTAATATTCACCATGAGCATTGACAAAGAAGTAGATTATGCTGAAAAACATACAATGGGTGAAATGAATGAAAACTGGTTGAAATTTCTAAAGACTTAAGTTGTTAAATCTGAAAGATAAAGAAAAAAATCATTAATGATTTTTTCTTTCTCTTTCAGATTTAACAACTTAAGTCTTTAGAAATTTCAACCATGGACAGATTAACAATCATACAACGTGTTAAAGTTTCAAGAGTGGAATATAAAAAACTGTTCGTAAATTCAAACAAATTGGGTCGGTAACAGATGTGAAAACATCACTGCGTACTTGTTTCCGGCATTCTGCTGAAAACATTGCTGCAGATTTCTAATTCCGACACGAGTCTATACACAGCGGTTGAATAAGACTGATGTAGTTCTCATCGATTGAAATAGATCTATACCCACCTCATATGAGGTAATTTGGGATTTTGTTGTGTAATATATATATATATATATATATATACGTGTGTGTGCGTGATAAAATTGTCCTGTATCAGAGGTGTAAATATAAAAGTAGACACTGTTGTGAATAACCATTGACGACAATTTGTTTCATACTTCAGACATAAAGATTGCGTTGAATCATCAAACTGTCGCTACTGAGTATTAACCTCAGTGTCCACTTTTATATATATATATATATATATATATATATATATATATATATATATATATGTGTGTGTGTGTGTGTGTGTGTGTGTGTGCGCAGAGAGAAATATACTTAGGTATATACATCCCCACGTGTCGACATCTCATTTATTTACAAAGACTTTCAATAAATACTTACTGAATAGTCAAGCGTGGATGCCATAGAACATTATGATCCTCATCTTTAATTATATGATGCAGATTGCCTGTAAGGCAAGATTCCCTGTCTCCAATCAGAAGTGATACATTCTTTATACAATTTGAATACAGCAGAGCTTACAAACACGCTGGGGCAGTGACAGTCAAGAAGTGGATAAATTGTCAGGCCAATGTTATCTGATAAGAATAGTTTCCCGCTGCGAAAGCATCATTCAAAATTTTACTCATTGTCAAATGCATACTCCTGGTGTCAGAAACTATCAGATCCACAAGTAGATTTACGGACCTTTAGATGTAGCTTACTTTGACACTGCTGTGGTGTAACAAGAATCAAATTTGCTACAATATTAATGAACAGCGAGGTCACTGCCATCCATAGTTAAACGAGAAGTGTCAACACTCCTATAAAATATTAAAACACAATACGGAGCAAATATATTTAATATCAAATGATGATAGACTTCACGGCTATATCTCGCTGAAACTGGTTCTTGTCCGATCAGAAGATTGAGCCCGGTCAGCACCTAGATGTGTGACTATTCGGCAATACCAGCGTCTGTAAGCTTGGATATGTGATTGGTGGGATTGGATCACGGTTCGGAATGAGGAATAAGAATGTTGAGTTTAAATCCTGTTATATACCGTACCTATGAGCACTAATCGTTATGTCCCTATCCTCATGAATACGCTAGACACTATTGTAAGTGGGTGCAATATGCTGTCTAAGCTGACAGCGTAAGCTGTCAGCGTGGGAAGCTCTTGCCATGTCGAACTCTCTGACTTCGGACAGAGAGGAAACCGGACGAGGCTATGCCGACGGGCAGATTCTCGTCCGGGAAGGTAGACAGTATCCGATCCCGCGTATGCGGGGTCTACGGGCAATTTTTGCACGAGGCAACGGGCTCGGATTTCCCCACATTAAATTTAGCCTTGTTCCGCACCCTACCTCTCGGGGATGCAAGTAAATATCGTAATATGCTGTCTAAACTAGCAGCGTGAGCCGTCAGCATGGGAAGCTCTTACCGTGTCGAACTCTCCGTCTTTGGTGAGAGAGGAACCCGGACGAGGCTATGCCGATGGGCAGAGTCTCGTCCGGGGAGGAAAAAAGATAGCCAATGCCGCGTATGCGGGATCTACGGGAAATCTTTGCCTGAGCCCAAGGGCTCGGGTTTCCCCACATTAAATTTGGCCTTGTGCCACATCCTACCTTGTGGGGATGCAGCTAAATATCGTAATATGTTGTTTAAGTAGTCCATCGTCAGCAGTGGTTCATTCAGTAACCCTTTCTAGGTTACAACAAATTCATGTCGAGTTTGTTTCATTCACCTACATGCAAGTACCCATGAGAACGGTATAAAGCCATTTCTCCACCAACCCAGTTATTGGCTAAATGGCAGGCCCTATTGCTTTGGTTGCCATACAGTCTACCACAGAAAGTAACAGCATCCTACTGAAGGAATTTTTCTGCAAAGCCAATTATGAATCGAAAAGAAACATAATCGCCCAAGCGGACATTGTGCATAGCATCTTATGAAGGAAGGAATAGATTTTAGTTTCTCTCCTAAATATTTTCTTCTATCGCCTGATGATTTTTGTTCGCCCAAGATACTGACAATTGGTGAAAACTCTTCACAGAGCACGTAATGATTTTTTTATTATATATATATATATATATATATATATATATATATATATATATATATATAAAAAAATAATCACACATGGAATCAATCAGTAATATTAATGGTATTATTGGCGACATCCATCGCTAGTAGTGTATAATGTATGCATTAAAATACTGTTAATCCATAGAGTGACGTGAACTAAGTATATAGCTCAATTAATATAGTTCATGACATATTAACTGTAAACACTTGTAAAATAGAATACGTTGATTTACCACATCACAAGAAAAGTTCAAATAAAATTCTTACTTAAAATTTTGAAAAACTTAGCGTTGCGTCTTTGCACGTTCCGATATGTACACAACCGTCAATAATAGCACATACTCAAAAAAACATCTTTCGGTCGACAAACAAGTATTTCGTCTTCAAGTTTTTGATTTTATAAGGAAAACATATGCCTGACGATGAATAAAGGATTATTCGAAAGTACTTGCATTTTTAAAAAAATATATAAACTGGAGACAACAGACAACAGTTTTATAAATGAGGATCACGTCTCTCTATGGATTAACAGTATTTTAATGCATACATTATACACTACTAGCGATGGATGTCGCCAATAATACCATTAATATTACTGATTGATTCTATGTGTGATTATTTCTTTTTGTATATAAATTATATGATGCCTAATGTTATATATATATATATATATATATATATATATATATATATATATATATATATATATATATATTTTTTATATTATATATATATGTGCGAGTGTGGATGTGTGTGTATGCGTTTCATCCTAATGTTTTTAGATTTCCATGTCTTCGACGGGTTAATATGTAAATGTTAGCATGTATTTATATCCGAGGCTTTATTCAACTATTTCTAGAATTTCAACAGGACGTGCATCCTGAATGAAGTACGGATTGTTGAGTCAGTGTGGAAATAATATACAATTGGATATTGAAAGTAACCTGCTGGAAGTAGATGTTAGAATAATTCAATTTGGGTAATACTGCATATATGCACATACATGAATGTGTACCTTGAGCAAAGCCAATGAGAATTAGGCCGATGTGTAACACATTATCTTCTTCAGTGTTTTCAGTCTCTTCAGGATATGGGTGAGCATGGCTCTCCACAATCTCCTGTCCTTTCAGGCTCTTAGTAAATTTTGTCTTTTTGCTATCTCTCCCAATCCCTGTTCTGACAACCATTTACATATGCCCGTTAAGCGCTGCATTCCTCTGTCCCTCTTGCTTTCAGTATGTACTGTGTGTGTCAAATTTCCCAAGCCCTCTTTCCTCAATATGTGCGCTAGAAATTTCAACTGTCTCTTTCTGATGGTAATTATAAGTAATCTTTTTCGTTTCTATTTTCTCTAAATCTTCGTTGTTACTCATATGTTCAGTCCATAATATTCTCAGCATCCTTCTGTAGAATTACATTCGTGTTCCTTAAAGTCTCTTTTTGATATGTGGGAAGATTTTCTGTTAATATAGGAGGACCAATAATACACAACAGTTCAGGACTCTACCCTTTGTTTCTAACAAGATTTTCCTGTTTCTTGATATTTTGCTTAGCTTTTGAAAGGCATATTTTATTATCCAATGCGTCTTCTAGTTTCAGTGTCGCATTTTCCGTCCTATGTTAAAACACTTCTTAGATATTAATTTTTTTCTACTTGTATGATTTTAATGTCACCAATTTGTAATTCGCATGTTGAACTCTTCTTTGTACTGATAACCATACATTATATCTTCTTACAATTGATGTTTAGTCCTTCCATCACGCTTTCCTTCACTATCTTCTCTATTTTATTTTCTGTGTCTGCTATCAACACTGTCATCATATCTTATGTTGTTAAGATTGTGTTCGCCAATATTGATTTTCTGTTAGGAATTCTAAATCTCTCAGAATGTGGGCGATCATGAATCTCTACAATTTTTGCTCCTTTGTAGCTTTTAGTAAATTTTATCTTTTTGCTATCTCTCCTACTGCCTGTTCTGACAACCATTTACACATATTCGTTATGTGCTGCTTTGCTCTGTCTCTCTTGCATTCAATATGTCCTGTATGTGTCAAATTTTCCAAGCCCTCTTTCCTCATTATCAACTTTCAACTGTCTCATTCTGTAAAGGTTGAATAATCCGGTGAAAAGACACATCCTTTCTGTTTTGGGATATTTATTGAATTCATTTGTACCTCAGCATGCGTTCTGGATTATTCTAATATCCTTCCCAAATATATCAAATTTATCTAGCAATTCCAACAGTTTTTCTTGACATTGAAACATCTCGTCTTTATAAAGGAAGATGTGATAAATAGGAAGCTTGGATCTGGAAAAAGAAAGAGAGCCCAGAAAACAAGAATGATCAGACAAATTCTTGAATGGGCATCTCAACAAATTCTTACCGGAAGAAAGCAGAGATATTTGAAAGGGATTTGGTACAACTGTCCACCAATGATTTTCTTTGTCGTTTGCATATTTGCCGATGGCCTTTTTCGTTGTCATTTTTTTTCTTTTTACTTCAATTAATGTTATAAGGTATCCATGACTTTGTGAACGTGTCGTGGTGTAATGGATAGAGGCTCCGAATAAGAAATCAGAATCGGAAAGATGCGTTCGAAATCCAGTCAAGTTTATTGCATTCACTTATGCACAAATACACTTGAGAAAGTTATGACTCCATCTCTTACGCTATGGATAAATAGCAGGACAAAGTGGGTTCTATAGCCTTGGTTGGCAGACAGTCTAGAAGAATGAATACTCTGAATGCAAACTAACCTGAAGAGGTTTAGGCTCCTTCAGACTAGCATGCCCGAGATGCACCACTGCTGCTAAGATTGCAATACACGTGATGCCCTACAGACTCTAATGCTTCACAGGACGTGTTCATGGTTACGGCAAACATACGAATGACTGCTTTCCTCAAACTCGTTTTATTTTTATTCATTTACTTGTTCTTCTGAGTGATCCTGAAACTTTGTGACTATGAACTTCATTTAGGACAGCAACATGAAGACAGAAAGTATGAACTACGACATATACCTTTCAACGATTGTGATGCGGAAAATAGCTTTCTATAGTCTAGTAAATTTAATCTTAACTTTAATACTTTGTGTGATGATTTTCTATTTAGAAATATACTTATCACTGATGTGTAATTGATTCTTTCATTGTTCTAAAGTCAGTCTATCGACATAAAACTTGTAAAAATTGATTTTATAAATAATTTATTTTTTTCATTTTTATCACACTTTCTAATAACTATCCATCTCTCCCTGTTCAGATTTGCCTAACTATCGATCGATCCATTTGTTTTTCTATCTATGTTTGTCAGTCTATCTATCTATCTATCTATTTCAGTCTGTTCCTATCCATTTCAGTTTTTTATATCTGTTCATATCTACTTATTTGTCGATTTACATAATTTAGTTCTTTTTATCTACCTATCTATCTCAGTCTATTCATGTCTATTTATCTCAGTTTTTCCTATGTTTCTCTCTTATTTTTCATATCTACCTTTCTACTAATCGATCTATCTTAGCACTTTTATATCTATCTTTTCCCTCTACTGTCTTATTAGAAAATAAACTAAAGTCATCCACTTGCAGGAAATAAAAAATCGCCTTAAGCAGACGATTAACTGTTTTTGTTTTTTTTTTGTTGTTGTTGTTGGGGTTTTTTTTTAGTTCGATAATAAATCTTGTCTGGTCTCTTTCAATTTGCCTCTTCTGCGTTTGAAGGAGTTATTAAAAGCGAGTACCAAAAAGGAAAAGAATAGAAAATAATGAATAAAGAAAACATCCTTTATTTCTAACATTTTATCGCGCAGCAGAAAAGCTTAGTCAATAACCAAGGAAATATTTTGAAGGCTCACACGAAATAGACGATATCAAATTCGTAATAATTTCTAATAAAAAAAGATAAACTGAATTTCATATGGTACATTTTTCATATGAATATATATTTAAAGTTTTGCCCATATCATTTGGTTAAAATTAATTTAATCGTGAAAATATTGACTTAAAACATTGGTATAAAACATTGGTATATTTTGGTGCGCTAAATTATACAGCACGTAGCGAGAATTGGGAGCATTTAAGATAAGTGCTTAAAAGATGGTGTTGCCGCTATAACTATTGTTTTTATTATAGTATGAACATTGGAAAAATGCACATAGATAGATAGATAGATAGATAGATAGATAGATAGATAGATAGATAGATATGGACAGACTGAGAGAAAGAAAGAAAGAAAGAAAGAAAGAAAGAAAGACTAAATATATGACAAAATTTTAGATTTATAATTAAGCAACAGATAAAAATTAGAGAATTATCGTGTCGGATATTTTTGCTCTACATGATATTTTATACAAATTAATATTACAGTTCATCTTTCTATCACTGTTTATTTATGCTTTTTAAGCGTTTTTTTCCTTATTAATTCTTAGTACATTTACTTTTCTTTCGTTTTTATTACTTTTTATTGCAGGCTCTTTTTATATTCTGCGACCCTTAAGTAAGCAGAATTTGCTTAAGTAAACATTGATCACAGAATGCAAAAACGATTAGAACGTTCAGATATAAAGCAATAAATATTATTGACGGCAAACCCTCACGGAAGAAATTCGAACCAATTCAAACTATTAGTTCTACTGCTCATACTATAATTAATTTTTCTCAGTACCATCGTTATTATTATTATTATTATTATTATTGGTAGTAGTAGTAGTAGTAGTAGTAGTAGTAGTAGTAGTAGTATTGCATTAATTCTTTATCCTATTAAATTCATGATCCTCAAGATTTCAAAACAGAACAAATACTAAGCAAATGGATTTAGTAAAAGTCCTGCATCAAATCTAACTTGAAAAAATATGGGGGAACCTATTCAATAGAAAGCATCTATTGTCCTTTGACTCTTAATTAAATGTAATGAACGCGAAAAGAAAGTTGTCTTGAATGGCCACTCTTCTTGTTCTTTTTAGCATTAATAGAGGTGTTCTCCAGAGCTCTATCTTTGGACCCACGGTGTTTCTAATATTCATCAATGACTTTCTTGATGTCTTCAGTTCTCATCTCGATATCTACGCTGATGACACAAATATTTATTCCTGTCTTAACAGTAAGTCTGATCGGTTCGATAAGGTCAAATTGACTGCTGATCTAAAACAAAAAAATCACCTACAACCTGTTAAATGGGGTAAGGAATGTCTTTTTAATTTTCCAAAACGAAACTACGTAAACCATTCTATCTTCCATCAGCATGGCAGATGCTAACCTCCAACTCATTGCGCCTTCACGAGCTAACGTGATATGAAGTGGAATCGATTGCTAAGTTTTTATATCGAGCTAAACAATTTTTCTTGCTAGAATCTATCTTACATATTTATGAGTTTACCATTCGTCCTTGCTCTGAATATTGCTGCCATGTCTGGTCTGGTGTTCCTGCTATATATTTAGAAACTCTTGATAAAATACCAAGAATAATCTGCAATGTTATTGGCCTTAACCTGGCATCTAAGCTTCTGTAACTTCCCCACCGCTGTAACGTAGCTTCCTTGTGCCTTTTTAATTAATACTTTCATGGTAATTGTTCTGATTAGCTTTCCTCTATAGTATCTAGACTTTATGAATTTAAGTGCAGTACTAGATTGGCGGCAAGGTCTCATAATTTTACTATTGAAATATGTAGATGCAATCGTAAGTTCTATGTTAACAGTTTCTTTTCTCGCTTGTGAAACTCTATTCCGGATTCTTACTTCAACTTTGACCTTCAAACATTTGAATGCAATGTAAATCGTTATCGGTTTTCTTAATTTTTGTTCTTTTATTGTCTTCTGTCTTTAATTGTATATTTGTATCATATTCTTTAACACTCAGTTAACCTTTGCGTCTTAGTGACTTTGTAGCCTTGCTTGGAATGAAATGATTAAAACTAAAACAACGATGTGTTCAAATATTCATTTATTTCACCGAAATAAAAATGGCTCAGATTAAAGCGAGGGAACTCCAGAAAGTAGCAGAATGAAGAATCTGTATGAGAAAGGAATTATCAGAACAGGATCCGTCAACGTAAAAAGTCTAAGATTTAAACTAGCTCAAAAATCTCCAGGAACTTTTTTCTAGACAACCAAATCAATATGTGAACCAGATATCGTCTCATTCAACCATTAAGTGGCAAAAAATCATTCTTAATAATTCATCGCACAATATTCCAATGTACTCCTGATTCTGATCAGTGATTACATCTGAAGGGAAAAAATCCAATACCTTTAATTCCAAATGCTACAGAATTGAACTTAGTTAACAGATTTTCATCTTAGTAAAAGTCCACGAAAGAAATCAGAAAAATCTGATTGTATACTATGTGTAAATATGTTGTAGTAGTTGATCATTAAACATTGTATTTGTTAGGAAGTAATAGATTGGATTATAAAAATAAAACTTTTCATTTCGGGTTGAAGATATAAAACCTCAATATATATAAAACAGTGAAATCATCTTCAAATTATAAGAACAGTTATAATTGCACTCGTAATCAGTAGAGAATTATGAAATCATTACGAACCTCTGGGAAGAAAACTACAAAAAATCAAATCCCTAATAAAAAAAAAATCATTCAAAACCGCTGAGTAACAATTCTGTTGTTAAACAATATTCATTGTTATAGTCGTTAGCAAAAGGGGCAGGCCAGGATGTGAGCTATAAATTGGGGACGTTAAAATCTAGCAAGTACAGAAATGAAACTATCTGGGGATAAAAAATGATGAAAAATGTGTAAGAAATCTGAAGAGAAATTGGAACAGAGAAAGATGCCTTCCAAATGCTAAACTATTAAGAAATTATAAATCTTTTTAAGAAACAAAGCGCTGAACTTCTGTGTAATATCAACCCCCTTATATAGCAGTGAAAGCTAGACAATTTCCTCACAGATGAAGAGGAAACTAATGGCAATAGAGATGTGTTTCCACAGAAGAATTCTGTGAATATCATGGACAGAACATGTCAGCAACGAAGTCTTAAGAAAAATGGAACATAAAAAAAGGATATTTTTTATTTAGAATCAGAAATAGAAAACATAATGAGGAAAGAAGCTTCGGAAATTTGACACTCGCAAGGCTTATTGAAGATAAGAGGGAAACAGTAACCTATCTAACGAGGTTGTGTAATTTGATGACAGAACAAAGCCTGAGAAGGAAAGTAAGGATTTGATTGATTGATTTGTTTTTGTTACGCTTTATCCAGTTAAAGGTTATTTAATACCAGAAAATATTTTTGGATTGTAAGATTTTGTTTTCTTTTTGGTGTGGGGGGGGAGATAATGATTTACTGATACAAGTAATACTAATTAACCCATAGCTGGGGGATAAGAATTGGATTCATTCCTTTCCCAATATTTTGTGATGTCAACGAACACTCGTTGTCACTTTTGTAACGCTTGTTGTAGTAGAGACTTTGTAATAGCAGATGCAACCAGAGTAATGCCGTTGAACAATACTGATGCCAGACATCTTCGAATAATCTCGCACTAATAGTACTTTACTTGCTCGATAATACTCGCTCGAATAGTAACCACCGTATTGATCCGAATAGAGAATAGTGTAGAAGAGAATAGCGATCCGAATAGTAATAAAGGATGGACTAGAAATAGCGGTGCGTATAGTATAGAGGATAGGCTAGAAATGGTCACGTGATCCACTTAATTCAATAATGGGATTGCTTGTGTTTGTTCACTGGCGATCTATGTTCAAACTCAAGTGTCGGTAGCGACACTTTATTCCTATGTAATGGTATTTGTTCGTAAGAGAATATAACGAACCTGACTGAAATTGGTACAAATATCGTTTAGAAGTGACATGGCACATAAAAGAAGAAGGTGAAAAAGAAAGCCTTTAATTTTAGTTGCGATTCATCACATCTACTCAAACCTTCAGTAATTAGTAAAAAATAAAAAAGCGAACCAGAATTAAATGTAATAAATGCTAGTCAAAACTTAAAGGACAATGACTTCATCTAAAACAACGCTACTTGTGTAAGAAAATATGGTGTCACTTGAACTTCTGGATATCCCCGGAATCCCAGGCCATAAATTGGAAAAAAAATTAGAGGACTGCGTTCGTGAACAGTTAATAGTTAAGATTTTAGCCATTTTTTTCATATTCAAGAATGTGTTGGAGATCTGAAGAGACATCTGCGATTCCCTGCAAAAACCAGAAGATATCATGTGTAAACATTGCATAGCTACAAACCAGGGGAAATGTCTGGTGTTATCTTTGTATCTATAAATAGAATACCCGCTCGGCCCGGTGGCTAGGATCAAAGTGTAGTATCTGCGCTTTGTGAGCTGCCGGGTCGGATGTCTGTCGAACTCTCTGCTTGCAGAGAGGAACCCGGACGAAGCTCCGCCGAAGGGTGGGGTTTCGTTTGGGGAGGTTGACGGAACTGGCCCGCCTCGGCGGGTTTGGATGGTTATTTATTTTTGGCTGGGCCTACGGGCTCAGAGATACCCACATTAAAAAGGCCTTGTGCCACATTCGATCCCCGTGGGTGGATTGATAAATACTATCTTTGTAGAGAAAAAAGTTCGGTAACAGTAAAAGCAACAAGCTGACTCACAGAAAAAGCATTTAGTGGTGGCACACAAAAACAGGCAGCACAGTGTAGAACGGTAACACTGGGAGTCTTTCAAAAAACTGAGTTCAACCATGAAAAAAAATGGTATCTATTATCACAAACCAGGAGCAGAAGGAAATAGAAAGAAAATAAATGCTATGGGGTTTTTATATTAAAATATTGGATCTGATAGCCGTCAGCTAAGTAAAGAACCTGACATATTGTGAACGTGGCTGTATCAGCGGACCTAAAAAGGCTGAGACGAAATAAATCTATTTGCGTAAAATACCAGGACCTCGCCTAAGAAGTGAAAAAATTGAGAAATATAAATGTTGAGGGGTCCACCCCTTTTTATACAAATGAACTCACCCAGTATATACATATACTACTGCAAGAGCGAGACGAGAGTAAGACAGAGCAAGACCGAAGTGTCGAGTCCAGAGTGACAGAGTAAAAGGTTGTAGGTAACCGGAAGTGTGAGGGTGAGGTAACAGCGTTGTAGGAGTCACAGTGAGTGAGCACGTAGACTCAGTAAGAAGTCATACAGCGATACTTCAATACCAAAGACTATATATATATATATTTGCTACTAATCCGTATTCCTGGAACTACTAACCTGCTTTACCAGTTTGTATTATTACGTTAATACATTATTTTCATATATTCATTCCTGGCGTTTGTTATTTATTGGTACCGGATTTCAACCCGGAATACACAACAATAAATGTGGTGATCATTAGAGTAGATGAACTTAAAACAACTATCGGGATCTAAAGAAATGGAAATTCTAGGAAGAATTGAGGCCATCTACGCTACATTTCTAGTCTCTGTAAGAATTTTGAGGAATCTGGATATTTGAGAAGATTGGCGAGCATTTCTTTCTCCAGCAAAATTCTATTTCAAAGACTAATAATATTTTTTCAGGCGATTTCAACTCACAAGAAGATCACACTTACCTAAATCTAAGCAACAGGAAAATTTTATTATAAACAAAAAAAAAAAGAAAAGAGTACTGAACTGTTACATAATATCAGTCCTCTTTTATGGCAGTGAATGCTGGACAATTTCCTCAAAGATGAGGAAGAGACTTGAAGCAACACAAATCTTGTTCTACAGAAGGATACTGAGAATAGCATGAACATGCCTGCAACAACAAAGGTTTAGAGAAAATGGAAACAAAAAGGATACTAATAATTAACATCAGGAAGAGACAGTTGAAATTTCTAGGGCAAATATTGAGGAAAGAAGGCTTAGGAAATTTAATACTCACAGGACTGATTGAAGGGAAAAGATGACAGATGAACCAACGCATAACCTTCCTAGTGAGTTTGAATAAATGAAGTAAGATTGTAGCGAGACAACAAAAAGACAAAATTTATTATGAGCGCCAAAGAACAGGAAATTGTGGAGAGCCATGAACGCTAACATTCTGAAGAGACACGACACATAGAAGAAGAAGAAGCAACTTTAGGCTCTGGTGTATCCACATATGTTCAGTTTTTATCTCTAGTTTTACGCCTTATAAAGGCTTTTTTTTTTTTTTTAAAGCCGAAACATAGTTCAGGTTGTAGAAGGTCGCTTACAGTACGTGGTGTTTCCAAGCGGTCTCTCTTCTAGGTACTGACCAAGTTCGACATTGCTTAACTTCAGTGATGAAACAAGAACTAGTGTTTCAATGTGATTTAACTGATGTATGCATAAAACACAGCTTATGATAATGCCAGAACAAATTTCTAAAGAAAAAAAATAGCATTGCTCAAATTACAGATTTGAGAGTTGTGATAGTCTGCTGATCCCTTGACAGTCAACAAAACCTTCCCGTTCGTCGTCATGTGACTGTAGGCTACTCCGGATATAATTATTCTCTTCATGGTCTCCAGGTGCCTATTCTAATGCTACCGGTTGTCTGTCAAAGGGAAATTCACGGATCAAAGAGGAAGGCAAATCGATTCTTATTTGCTATTTTAAAGCAACCACGCACAAAGAGGCCATAGGAACCAAATGATTAAAATATGTGACAAGTACTGCAAGTGTGCCAGAAACCAGACAAAGATTTGTTAATCAAATGAAACAAATGCTGATGACAGAGGAAGGACGGTGTTTCAACTCATTGAAGTAGCAGAAAAATAAGATGTATTCAGCAAGAATATCTGCCAATAAATTTGGGGAAACGTTAAATGAACAAATTAAGGGATCATAGAACCCACCTCACTAACAACTACAATAAACCTAGAAGACGAAAAGAATGAGATGTATATTCATAAAAAAAAGAAAATCATAATGAAAGACCAAAATTTGTTTGATCTAAATTCTAAAGGGTGAAATCGATGCATTTACCTACACTTATATTAAGTATTCTGCAAACTTTAAAATGTAAATCTTAGGGGTTATTTTAGCGTAATTACTTTCAAAAATGTTCTTTCTTTCCAATCTAAAAGATGAACAACAAGAATTAAGATCAATAAGAAAGAGAACGAATAGATAAGGAATCAATGGAAAGAAACGGAAGATAAACAAATATACCAACAAAAGAAATAAAACTAACCAGAAAGAGAGAAACCAAAACATTATGGTTAAGGAAGGCAGACTGGTCAGATACTGACATGGTGTCTATCAATAGAAACAGAGCAGAAAAGTCTAAAACAATGAAAGAAGATTTTTACCGACATGTAAATAAGGAAAGAATGACAAAACGGGACAAATGGATGCTAAAATTCTCAAGTAAAATGTGCAAAACAAAGTTAACGGAAATGCCAAGTGACTTGCGATCTAACCGAAAAAATATATTACAAATAATCGAAAAAAGAACAGGCATAAATAAATATAGAACCTTAAGAATAAGCAACATTCAAAAAATTGCCAATCAGAAATTTCACAACTATGAAACGATTCACGAATATTTATGAGAGACTAGGGAAAATGGGGTATCATTCAAAAATACTCGTGACCCATTGAATTATAGATTAAGGAAATAAAACTAAGGTTACAGACGTAGATACAAGAAAAGCTGAACAACCTCATGTGCATGGATTATCTTAACGGAAAGAAACTGAAAATTCATATACAGATGATCAGGATGTTCTGCCAAGATGTAAAAAGTGAATTTAACATTGAAAATGGGCCTTGTTGGTAAATGGGAAAAAGAAACAAACAAAAAAAAGAATTTCGCTACCTTACCAGGAAACCATTAGAACAATCAAGCAAAATTCAGGAAGCAGATATCCCCAAGCAAACTAATATGAAGGAAATGTCGGCAAAAGAGACGTTAGAAGAACAAGAAAATATGACAGACAAAAATCTACGTCACAAATTTAAAGAAAGGAATATGTACGTTGTATCTATTGTGAAGTAATCTGGACCATTCCTAAACCGAACAAGACAGGAACATAGAAGGTTTCCCCACAGCCTGATGAGAATACATAAGGTGAGACACATATGAGAGACGATTTCGACTGTCTATATCGTAAAAGAAAAGGTGAGAGAAACTAGTTATCATTAGGGGTTGCATCTACTTCATAATGAATAATCTCAAAGAATGTATAAGACAGAACAAAACAAAGAAAAATGTACTACAAGGAAGAGGAGAAAATAAAGAACGCAGCAAAAACGTGAACTCAAAAATGGAAAATGACCCAAATCTACATCATAAGAAGCAACAATATAAAAGCCAAAATAAATAAACGTTAAACAACGTAATCAGCAAAATGGCCTCAAAACAATGCAAAAGACATCGTTGCGTCAAAATTCAAAGAGGAAAGGCATTGCTTGGCTTTGAAATCCTGACTGTGAATACCAAACATTGGCTCTGACGGTAAAAGGCATAATCACAAGTAAAATACAAATTATAACAAATATAGCAGTAATTATTAACAAAAACTGAATCAAACCATCGTGTGGTTTTCATACACTTTCCAAAGGTGTTGCACTCTGAGATCGTCTCTCCAGACCCCGATGTTACAACAATTCACTTTTCTGACAAGTCATAATCAGAACGTGATCGTTCTAACCACTTGGCCACGCGATTATATTTACCCACTCTGATATTAAATAATCTGTATTGAAAGAAAAAATATTAGAACGTAAAAATTAATTATTATTTTACCGTAAGTATTGAAAAGTACCTTTAAAGTGATCATAAATGCGACATGAATTTCTTTCCAGGCTAACACATAAACTACAAGAAGCAGAATCTTTAAAAAAGAGAATAAAATATATGAAAAATCAGAATATAATAAGTGGCTCATTCACCATGTATGCCTGTCGACTTTGGAAACCATGAAACTTTAAGTTGCACAACAAACGTAGATATATGTGCATTTATTAATATATACTTCATAGCTCTGTTTAACTATATTGAGCACTGTTTTGTTTGCACCATAAATTAAATTAAATAAATATTTATTTGCTTATCTGCTTATGCACGCTATCACACGTATGTACAGTTACTAATATATATAATCTAATCACTATTAATCTAATTACTATATCTATTTAGTTTACATTCAAACTTATATATGTATGCATATATATGTGTGTGTGTGATTAAAATATAGTTTTAAGGTATATCTATAAGTTAAAGTGCTCAATATCAGATATAGAGCATGTGTAAATATATAAGTGGACACATTACACATATATATATACCTAAAACTATACCTATATATATATATATATATAGTGGAATTTCTACACACACACACACACATACACACACATACACACACACTCACACACACACATATATATATATATATATATATATATATATATATATATATATATATAGGGCTAGCTAAATGAGATAACTAGATATTAGCGACAGTATACGCGCGTGGTGGCGTGAATACGCTGGTAAACAAACAATTACCAAATTTATCCAAGAGGTGTAGACATAATAGTGCTCAATGTGACTAGACAGAGCTAAGAAATATGTGTTAATAAATACATATATACCTACGTTTGGTGTGCGACTTGAGTTCCGTTGGTTACCCAACTCGTCGGGCACGAGATATTGCGTATTGTTTGATTATTTTAAAATAAATAAACAATAATCTATATCTCCTGGCCGACGAGTTGGGTAACCAACGCAACTCGAGTCGCACACC